GAGGCAGAGGCAGGTAGACCTCTGTGAGTTCAAGGCCAGCCTGGTCTGCAGAGTGAGATCCAGGACAGCCATGACAACACAGAGAAACCCTGTCTTGAAAAATAAAAAAATTTAAAACAAATTAAAAAAAAAACCCTCTAGTTATCATGGAAGTCACTACATAGAACAGGTTGGCTTGAAGTGAAGAGATCTTCCTGTGTGCACAACCATATCCACATATCCAGCCCTAACAACTTTTAAAGGGAGACTATTGCCTATCCTTTCTGTTTGTTTTGATTTTCGAGACAGAGTTTCTCTGTGTTGCCTTGGCTGTCTTGGACTTGCTTTGTAGACCAGGCTGACCTCAAACTCACATCAATCCACCTGCCTCTGCCTTCCTGGGTGCTGAGATTAAAGGCATGCGCCACCTTTAAAGGGAGAACATTGCCTCTTCTCAACAGAAACACTTGCTCTTCATTACAAACCCTGCTCTGTGCCTCACTTCCAAACACTTAACCAGGTAGTGACTGAAACTCACTTCAGTCCACAAAAGCAACTGTCCCTCAGTAAAAAAAAAAAAAAGGAAATCACAAAAACTGGTCTTCAAAGACTGTATCAAAGATTTTCAGGTGGAGGAAGGAAAATCAGTTGAAGCTCATCCTTGGCTACCCATCAGGTTCCAAGAACAACCTGGCCTACAAGACCCTGAATTTAAAAAAAAAAAAAAAAAAAGACAAAATATTCAAAACAATTTCACTAAAAAGTACAGAGAGAGGGGTTGGAAAGGTGGCTCATGGGTTAAGAACAATGGCTCCCCGTCCAGAGGTCCTGAGTTCAATCCCAGCAATTATGTGGATTACAATCATCTATTATGTGATCTGATGCCCTCTTCTGGTGTGCAGGTATACATGCAGATAGAGCACTCATAGACATTACATCTTAAAAAATAATAATACAGTACAGAGAGCGTCAGGCAGTGGTGGCACACGAATATCTGTGTGTTGGGGCCAGCCTAGTTCACAGAGCAAGTCCAGGACAGCCAAGGCTACACAGAGAAACCCTGTCCCAAAAAAAACAAAAGCAAACAAACCAGAGGTGAGGCTACAGCTTGGTTGTAGAGCACATCTTCAGCCCTGGTTCAATCACAGCACCACCCCCAAAAAACAAACAATAAAGGAAAAGAAAAGGTAACTTTGGAAAAAGCACTGCCTAAAAGTCAAAACTTATTTTTTTAAAAAACAAAGTAAAAAAAAGCCAAAGAAAAACATAAAGCCTTACATTACACACTCGGACTGTGGGAACTGGGAACTGATAAATTGGCTTGACTTTGAAAATAGGAGGATGAATTTGTTGGTCAAAGCTTGTAAAACTGTATCACAGGCTTTTGGGTGATATGTCTTCCACAGATCTTCATTTGACTTCCTCCTTTAAGATCATCTCCACTCCCCATTTTATATACAGCAACAAAACAGCTGCAAAACTCTAAGTAGATGAGCATGGCAACACAACCCTGGAATGCAGCACTTGGAAGCCTGGAGAACAGGACCACAAGTCTGCTACTACACAGCGAGTTTGAAAACAAGTTAGCTACAGCTTCTGTCTCAGAACAAACACACATCAAGGCTGTGAGCAAAGGCAAGTGAACCTCTGCATTTCAGATCAGCCAGGGCTACACAGTGACACCCTGTTTCAAACAATGTCAAGGCTAACACTGGAAAGTAAAATTACTTAGATCACATATATCTACTGCAAGGCAGGATTATACTTTCTAGATTCATTTTCTATCCTTAAGAGGTAAATATCAAAACAATTCTCAAAATCAAATCAGAATGGTATGCCACATGCCTCTCACTCCAGCCCTCAAAGAGACTGGGGCAGCAGATTTTTATTTGAGAACAGCCTGGCTACATCTCTTAGCTAAAGGGCGGGAGGATGTGCATTAATTTAAATAACTCATTCAGTAACGGTGTTCTTCCACCACTTCTCCCAGAATAAAAGTCACCCATACTAAAAAAGCCTCCTAACGAGCACTTCACATTCACAAGGAAAGAGACATAGAGTAGTTCTAAAGAAAGCTTCATATGACTATGGCTAGCACAATCCACATTTAAGAGACCAGAGGAAACCAGAGCAGCAGGAAACAGGCCGGAGAAACAAGCAATTAACACAATCCTTTCACATGGCCTCATTCTCTGCCATGCTACTACTTCCACCCATATTTAAAAAAATAAAATAAAAAATAAAAAAAACTCCATAAATTTAAATCTCCCTCTCTCTGAAATGTTTACTTTTTGAATGTCACGAGGCAGCAAGGGAAAATATAGGGAAGAGGGATCAGAACGGTGGGAAACGTGGGTGACCCATTTGGGGAGGTGGGGGTCTCTTACAGAACATAACTAAGCCCTAAGTAGGAAAATCAGGAAAAAAAACTAATTACAGCACGCAGAAGAGCAAAATGGGAAACTAAACATCTCTGCCTGATAAGGCAAGGTATACTGGATCATCTCCAAAGAGTGAAATTTAATTCTTTTCTAGAATAGGTGGCGACCATACCAAAGAATCAACCCAATGTCTAAGCAACACTACAGGAGAACTTAGGTATGACATTCACCTTCCTTCTACTTTTATTTTAAAATCAACACTAAAAAGAACAGGCACCAGGCAGTGGTGGCTCACGACTTTAATCCCAGCACTCAGAGGCAGAGGCAATCGAGCTCCGTGAGTTCAAGACAAACCTGGTCTATAGTGCAAGTCGGGGCTACAAAAAGAAACCCTGTCGCAAAAAAACCGAATGGAAAAGAAAACAAAACAAAACAAAACAAAAAAAACACAAGCAATTTGAGGGAATACTGGAATACTGCATTGGAGGGGGTGGGGACCCTTACCAATGGAAGAGATATGTATAAACAACTTTCACACACACACACAAAAAAAGTTCATTATAATCAGGCACGGTACTGCTTGCCTGTAATCCACGCACCCTGAAATCCCAGCATAGAAAAACTGAGAAAGAGGATCTTAAAATGAAAGCCAGAGCCAGGCAGTGATATCACTTAAATTCCAGCACTTGAGAGACGGAGGCAGATCTCTGAGTTCGAGACTAGGCTGGTCTAAGATAGTTACAGGACAGCCAGAGCTACACAGGGAAACTGTCTCGGGAAAAAAAAAAAAAAAAAAAAAAAAAAAAAGCTAGCCTTGGCTAAGTAGTGCAACCCTCTCTCAAAAACGACGAAAAGTACATAATCGCTAAATAAAAAAATGATCTCTACGCACCTCATGGAAACACGGTGAAAGCTCTAAATTACTGCACACAATTGCTGTAGAAAAGTAAGAATGTAAGCAGAATGCGCACCTTGGAAATAAAGTAGAAAGTTGAGCAGGTGGTGGTGTAAACTACAGGATTGTGTTAAAGCAAAAAACAGAAGGAATGATGCTAAAAAACAACTTTAAGAGAAAACGAGTCCTGAGTGGTGACAGTTGATGTGCCTGGGCAACTAAAACTAAAATCCAGGGCGAAAGGTGTGAAAGCCCAATAGTAACTGAGGAAAACAGAGCTGGAATGCACCAGGTTAAAGAATTAGCATTCGAATTTCTAATAGCACGCTTTACAGTTCAGAAGCACTCTTAGCTTATGTTAAAGAAAATAAACTGAGACAAAACCAGACTACAAGAACAGGGCACGAGAAAGAATACTTGAGTTTCATCTAACACCAAAACCCTCAGGAATAAAAAGTAGTAAAACTGAACTACGCCTTCGGGTTAAGTAGGGAATGACTAGAGCGCAGAAGTTGGGCTCTACGACCAGTCCCAGATCCGGCGTCGGACGTGAAAGCCGAAAGGCAATCTGGAGGAGGGCAACAGCGTGGCGGGGGAGCTCCAGGCCATGTGCACGGACTGTAGTGGGAGAGAAAACCACACCCTCCAGGACAGAAACTCGAAGTGGGGGAGGGGAAGGCGCCCCCTGGGGCTGGGTGGGGCCCGGCCATCGAAGAGGGGGAGGGCAGGAAGCGCAGGGCAACCGGAGCGGGAAAGGAAGGAGGGTGCCCAGGCCTGGACACACTAAGGAAACCTGAAGCCGGCGAGGGAAGATCGGCCCGGTCCACCAGAGCAGACGCCGGGGCATCCCAAAGGGGGCTGGAGTACAGATCCTAACCCATACTAGAAAGCATACATTGCAGGATCCAGGGCCCTGAAAAAGCGGACGAGCGGGAAAGGGTGGCAATTACCGCTGCTGCTCTCGCTGGACTCGGGACCCGCCGCCGCCGCCACCGCCGCTCGTTACCTGCCAATGTGCCTCTTACAAAGCGGCGGCGGCGGCGGAGGCGGCCCTGCCCGTCACGTGATCCCCACGTCACGGGAGAGGGCGGAGCCAGGACGCAAAGCTGGAACAGGGATACCCGGGTCGACGATACAGCTCTCGCAGCTGGGTAAGGGGGACTATGTGGAGGCGGGGGTATGCTGGCATTGCTCGTGGTCGGAACTGCAGAGGTCGTTTTATCCGGTGCCTACAAGAAACCCACTACTAGAGCATGGTGTCGCGCTATGATGACCTCAGAGACACCGCAAGTTACTCGCATGCGGGCGCCTCTGTCGTCACGTGACATGATCCAACCACTCAAAGCAAGCCCGTACTCTAAACAGTTGCTGGGGCGGACTACAACTCCCAGCGTGCTGCTCGGCGAAGATTATGTCTACGGCCGCGATTTCCCGGCGACTTTCTAGGTGTAGCTCGGATTCCGGCTCTTACAGGCACAGTTGGCCTCCCTTCCGAGCTACTGCCAATTGGTGCCACCTGCCAAGCGAACCAGCGTGGTTCCTGCTGGGAGTGTGTAGTCCCGGCGGAGTCCACGTTGCAGGACTGGCACTCCGCCCTGCCCTCTGCGCGGGAAAACGCCAACGGCCGAACCGAGACACCCAGAACGTCCGCGAAGGGGACCTGCCGAAGGGCCTCGAGACCTCAATGTGGTTAAATCCGGATTGCTTTCTGTATTCCCAACTCTTCTTCAGGAAACGACTGACATTTTTTTGAACGCCCATCTGACCTTAAAGGTTTATACAATCTTGTTCTAGCCTAAGCGGAATCTGGACCGATTTTGCAATAAAGAAAGGGAGAGTTACTTTCTGGTGTAAGAGACCCAAGGTTTTGCACGTTGCGAAGTTATCTGAATTACCTCCTAGTAAAGATGTAACTGTGTGGCCCAGGCTGTGCTGGAACTCACGCTGTAAACCAAGCTGGCCTCGAACTCTCAGAGATCCATGTGCCTCCAAAGTGCTGGAATTAAAGCGTTGTGCCACCACCGCCTGGCTCAAATGATGATTTATAGCTGTAGCATATCTTTTTAAAAAAAAGAAGAGAAAGTTGGTGCTGGAGAGTGGTTAAGAGTGCTCAACTGCTTGTCTGAAGGGCCTCAGTTCTGAAAGTCCCGAGTAGCTCAATCTCTGATACCGTCTTCTGGTGTGCAGACGTACATGCAGAAAAAAAAACCCATATACATAAATTACATAAAGAAATAAATCGTTTTTTAAAAACTTGAAAACAGGGCTGGAGAGATGGCTCAGAGGTTAAGAGCACTGGCTGCTCTTCCAAAGGTCCTGAGTTCAATTCCCAGCAACCACATGGTGGCTCAACCATCTATACTGGGATCTGGTGCCCTCTTCTGGTACACATGCAGGCAGAACACTGTATAAATAATAAATAAATAAAATCTTAAAAAAACAACAACAACTTGAAAACAGATTCGCTCCAGCCCAGGCTAACCTAGACTCATCGCGCAGCACACCTCTTCCACAAAGCAGTCGTTCTGCCTTGGCTCCCACAGCCACCCACCATGCCTGGTTCATATAATGAATTCCAAATTATATGTGTGTGTGTTTATGTGTATGTATGTATATATTAATGTGTGTAAATGAATGTATTACCTGTATGCATATATGTACCATGTTCATGCCTGGTCAGAAAATGGGTTTGGATGCCCTGAAACTGGAATTAGAAACTGGAGTTAGCTGTAATCCAGTTTCTGGTGCCAGTAATCAAACCAATGTCCTATGGAGGGGCATATGGCCTAAACAGTTGAACTATCTCTACAGCTCCATCAAGTACTTTCTCATTCACCGGACTGTGGATGCCGGGGCTGAGGGTACAGCTCAGTGGCAGTGTGCACACTTAGCAATTACAAAGACAGGGTTTCGATGCCTAGCATCAAAAATTATACATTTAAGCACAATACAATGTTAATAGGTCTGTGTAGTTTATTAGGTTAGATATATCCACAACTTTGGAATCCAGCAAACAATACCTCAATTTGAGTTTTCCTGTATTGTGAAAATCAGGAGGAAAAGATTATGTAAAGTACCTGCTGGTGTTAAATGTTAACCCCAGACAAGCAGCTGAGGTGCCAATTTAACATATCAAGGCAGATCTCCTGGACTCCAGGTTCTCCCAGAATCCCTCAGTTCCTACCTGTTACAGGGTAAGGCTGGCATCTCTTAACCTGAACTTTCCAGCCCAGCAGCTGGGCTGCCCTCCCCAGAGACTCTCCCCTTTATAATCCAGACATTTTGGTGCCTGCTCCTTTGATGCCTTTGGTCTCCTGGCTGATGCACTTGGTCCCTCCTCTTCCTTCCCTTTCTCCCTACAAGGTTCAGGATCATGACCACTCTGGACTCTCCCAGAAGTGTCTGGCTCTGCTCTCCTCCCCACCTAGGAGCAGTCATATCCTTTATTTTTCTTTTTATTTCTTTTTTTTTATTTTCGCTTGGCACACAAACGCTCAATAAACAGAATTATGTTCACATTTTGTTTGTACCCATAAGGTGCAACTGGTTTAAGCAAGATGGCAAGGGAATTAGTTTATACCAATGGGGATATGGTGCTAATTACTAGCTTTCTAGTTATTAATAGACTTGTTCTATTTAAATTACTTAGCTAAACAATTGAAATTTTTGTTTTGTTTTGTTTGTTTTTCGAGACACAGTTTCTTGGAGGCAGAGGCAGGCAGATCTCTATGAGTTTGAGAATAGCCTGGTCTACAAAGCAAGTCCAGGACAGCCAAGGCTACACACACACAAACACATGTCTCAGAGAGAGAATACTTCTGAAAGATCATTTACAAACCTGATACCTGGGCCAGTCTGAGGCTTGGGAAAGAAATTTGTAAGGGGGAATACAGCCTAAAAGGCATCATTTTTACCAAGAAAATGCTGATACCTTACTTGAGAACTGAATATGGGGGCTGGAGAGATGGCTCAGAGGTTAAGATCATTCTGTTCTTCCAAAAGTCCCGAGTTGGGCTGGAGAGATGGAGAAATGGCTCAGCCAGTAAAGGCTAGGCTCACAACCAAAGGTCCTGAGTTCAATTCCCAGCAACTACATGGTAGCTCAAAACCATCTATAAGATCTAATGCCTTCTTCTGGTGTATAGGCATACATGTAGGCAGAATACTGTATAAATAATAAATAAATAAGTCTTAAAAAAAAAAAAAAAAAAGAACTGAATATGTCCAGAAGAAAAAGAACAGGAAGAGAAGCAGGAAGAGGAAAAGAAAGCTGGGAGTGTGCCTTTAATCCCTGCCCTTCTAGACAGAGGCAGAAAGCTAGCCTGGTGGTGCATGTGTTTAATCCCAGCCCTCTTAGGCAGATGCAGGAAGAATTGGAGGCTTGCCTTATCTACAGAGAGTTCCAGGACAGTCAGGACTACAAAGAAACCCAAGGGGGTAGGGGGACTGTGTGTATATGGTAACATATTCCTGCAATCCCTAAATGAGGGAAGTGGGGGCAGATGGATCAGGAATTCATCCTTAACTACATAGCAAATTCAAGGCCAGACTGGACTACTGGACAGCTATCTCCAGTAGTAAAATCAATAAATAAAAAGAACAAAAATATATGGAGACTCTGGGTGTTTTTGTTTCATTTTGGTGTGGGAGTTGAACTCAGGGTCTCAGAGATCCAGCTGCCTCTGTCCCCCTGGGCACAAGTGAAGGTGTGCACCATCACAACCAGCTTTTAAAACTATTTGTAAGATTTATTTATTTAATTTGTAGGAATACTTTATTTACATGCATATATGAGCACCAACTGTATGCCTGGTCTACAGAGTGAGTCCAGGACAGCCAGAGCTACACAGACAAACCCTGTCTCAAGGGAAATAAAAAGTTTGGGGTTGGGAACTGTAGATTGTTTGCCTAGAGTGAACATAAGCAACTGAGACTGGATCCTCAGTACCAAAGGGACCATCTAGACAGGGGTGCGTTGGTGGCTGAGAGCCTGAGAGCACTTGCTCTTCTTGCAGAGGACATGCATCCACCACCATCATGAGGAACTCCAAATCCAGTTTCAGAGCACCTAGCCCCTCCTTACCTCCAAAGACACCACGTGGGAACTTGGTGCCCACACATACATACAGGCAAAACATTAACACATAAAATGAGTATATTTTCAAAAAAAGCAAAACCAGACTGGAACCAATCTTTCTTTCCTTTCTTATACAGCTAGATTTATTCTAACAACACATTACATTTAAATGTGTATCCGCAGTCAGCAGCAAAAGGCCAAAGGTCAGAAGAGGAAAATGTTCTTTTAGGATATAACAGCCGTGGCTGAAGGAATCGCTCTCACTGATGGTATAAAACAAGACCTTGAAGACCACAGTTTTGGGGGTTTTTTGTTTTGTTTTATTTTGGTGTTTTTTTTTTTTTTTTAGATTTTTGAGTCAGGGTTTTTCTGTGTAGCCTTGGCTGTCCTAGACTTTGTAGACCAGGCCCTGGCCTCAAACTCACAGAGATCGCCTGCCTCTGCCTCCCTGAGTGCTGGGATTACAGGTGTGCACCAGTTTGCCAGCTCAAACTTTTTTTTTAAAATAGGGCCTTTTCACTATTATTAGGTTGACTACTAATTTGCCAAGTGACCAAGACCCTTCTCTCTTCAGCTCTCTTTATTTTGTAAAACAAAGTTTTACTGTAAATAATCTTAGTCATCCATAGCTCCAGTTAAATAAATTGTATCCTACCTCTAGTTTTTAAGTACTTTCCAGAAATCACAGCATATGATACCTGGGTTGCTCAGGAGACAAACAGGTGGATTCTGTCCAAAGTGGATTCAGTCCAAAGAGCAAAATTAAACTCAGTCTGGGACCAGCTTAGTGGCAAATGCCTTTAATCCCAGCATTCCAGGAGGCAGAGACAGGTGGATCTCTGTGAGTTCAAGGCCAGCCTAGTCTAGAAAGCAAATCCAGGACAGCTAGGGCTACACAGACAAACTTGTGCCCCCCCTCAAAAAAAA